GTATTCCAGGCGTGGTCTTACTAGGGTTTTATAAAGTGGTACTAGTACTTTGCGTGTTCTTGATTCTATCCTTCTGTTTATACAACCCAGGATTGTATTAGCTTTTTTGGTTGCTGCTGCACACAGCTGGCTCATAGTCAAGTGATCGTCCACTAGGACTCCAAGGTCCTCTCACAGTTACTGTTTTTAAGCCAGGTCTCGCCCAATCTGTATTCGTGCCTTTGGTTTTTCCTGCCTAAATGTAAGACTTTGCTTTTCTCCACAGTGAAACTCAGTATCTATCTATTATTTTTCTGTCCGTCCGTCCGTCTGTCCATTCATCTATCCATTATCTGTCTGTCTATCCATCTGTCCATCCATCCATTATCTGTCTCTGTCTGTCTGTCTCTCTCTCTCTGTATCTACCTACCTACCTATCATCTACCTATCATCTACCTTTCTGCCTATTTATGTAGTTTACATAGTTTACATATATTGCAAACATGAGTCTTGGGAGTTTACAATACAACACTTAAAAATAGGTCTAAAATGACACTTAAAAATAACCCAACATGAATATAAATGAAGGAGAATGGACCAATATCCTATACATAACACCACCACTTTGTAGGCTCCCTATTTCCATGGGATCCTCAAGCTTGTTGGGAAATCCATGGTTTGAGAGGCCAATAGGGTCTTTTTAAATACTTTTAAAATCTAAATTACTTTTTAAAGCTTCTGATTGATACTTTTCACTTTACAGGTAGTTGCGAGGCATGAGGACTTGCTGGCACAAGCAACTGGCATAGAGTCTTTGGAAGGTAAGCAAGTTTCGTTTATTGGAAGCTTATGCATCAGTGTGCATCAGTATTATGTTTTAAACCAGGCATGTCAAACTGCCGTCACGCCGAAACCGCACCCACCCCATTGCCGGCAATGGGGAGAAAAAGCCACGTGACGTCGCGAGTTTGACATGCCAGTTTGAAACCATTGTTTCTCAACCTTCCGAACTTTAAGCTGTGTGGACTTCAACTCCCAGAATTCCCCAGCCAGCAGAATTGTGGAAGTTGAGGTCCACACAGCTTAAAAGTTCACAAGATTGAGAAACACTTTGCTAAATCCGTCTCCAAAGTGGTATTTTTTTTTGGTGCGTCATTTAGGGACTTGGTAAATAAAAAAATTACAAAAGTCTCAGTAGAGAAAAAGCAATATGCATCCCCAATCAGTCCTCATAAATTATATCTTAAATATCTAGATTATGTGTTTGTGTTTTGGTTTCTATTAATGCATTAATGCAACACAGGCAGCTTAATGTTCAGAAAGCGGCCGTAAGTGTGGAAAATGGTCATCCGTCCCTTTTTTTAGTGACTTATCTAACCTTGAACGGTCACTAAACAAATAGTCGTAAGTCGAGGACTACAACTCTGTTCTGTTTTTGGCCCCTTTCATACTTATTTATGTTGCCAGCAGATGGAGCAGTTCTTAACTGATTTTCCACACCTAACTTTTCTGGCTGTGTGGAAATGTTCTGTATAGAAAAGAACAGAGAAACAATAATATGAACAAGCAATCTATAATACAGATTTGAATAATGGCACTTTTTAAAAAAATAAGAAAGCACTTATAGTACATGAATTATAGTACATTGCAATATTAGGGACAGTGCAGTGGTGAATAGGATGTGAAGGATGTGTGTATATAATGTATGTTCTTATTTTGGTTTTTACTTGTGTGTAGTGTGCACTGTGGGCAGCACTTAATTTTGTTGTGAGTTACAAAGTGATAATAAAGATTATTCTATTCCATTCCATTCCATTCTCTATTCCATTCCATTCCATATTCTATTCTACTCTATTCCATTCCATATTCTATTCCATATTCTATTCTATTCTATTCCATTCCATATTCTATTCCATATTCTATTCTATTCTAGTCCATATTCTATTCTATTCTACTCTATTCTATTCTATTCCATTTCATTCCATTCTATTCCATTCCATTCCGTTCCATATTCTATTCTAGTCCATATTCTATTCTACTCTATTCTATTCCATTCCATTCCATATTCTATTCCATATTCTATTGTATTCTATTCTAGTCCATATTCTAGTCCATATTCTATTCTACTCTATTCCATTCTATTCTATTCTATTCCATATTCCCCATTCTATTCTATTCTATTCTATTCTATTCTATTCTATTCTATTCTATTCTATTCTATTCTATTCTATTCCATATTCTATTCCTATTCTATTCCTATTCTATTCTATTCTATTCTATTCTATTCTATTCCATATTCTATTCCTATTCCATTCCATTCTATTCTATTCTATTCTATTCCATATTCTATTCCTATTCCATTCCATTCTATTCTATTCTATTCTATTCTATTCTATTCCATATTCTATTCTATTCCATATTCTGTTCTGTTCTATTCCATTCTATTCTTTCCATTCCATTCCACTCCTTTCCACTCCATTCTACTCCATTCCATTCCTTTCCATCCATTCTATTGCATTCCATTCTATTCTATTCTTCATTCCGTTCCATTCTCTTCCATTCCGTTCCTTCCCTTCTACTCCATTCCATTCCATTCTGTTCTTTCCAATCCTTCCCTTTCCTTCCCATCCCATCCCATCCCTTCTATTCTATTCCATTCTACTCCATTCTATTCATTCCTTTCCTTTCTCCATACTCCACACTCCACATTCCAGGCTCCAGCTGTTTCAGCCTCCGAAATGCGCCAGTTTTCAGACTGAAAACTTTGAACAGCCCTGGGAGAGATATTAGGTGGCCAACCCCACTACATACACTTTCCATTCTGTTCAATAATGCATGATATTGAGTCTGAATCCTGTCTCCGTTATGTGTAAGTGACTAAGCATTGACAAATGTGTGGGCTGACACGTTCTTATTGCTTCATGTCCGTATGCTGAGCCTTCTCGGGTCCATATATAGAATTGGACTCCTACAGAAAAATGACTTTATACTTGCGGTAGCATCTGTAGCCTGGAAGGTACATCTGAAAAAAAAAAATACGTGAAAATGATTGTAGCCTCGTTGGGAGAAAATGAACCAAAAGGGTCTTTTGATAACCGAATGCCGTATAAAAAAATGTTAGTGTTTTCCTGTTTTGCTTGAATTTATTTTTTTCCCCCCATTTGGAAAGATATTTCTGCACGGTTACGAGCTTTTTGCAAACCTGCTCTTATATAATTAACAGGGCTTCCCTTCAGAATCGCTTTCTTTTAAGTCATTTCAGAATTACTTTTAAGTAAAAAAAGAAGGATCTTGACAGGTTTCAGCATTGGGCCCTATCCAGCCAGATGCAGTTCAGTGGCGAGACGAGTTAAGGCCCTGCACTTAGGCAGGAAAAATCAAATGCACAGAATACAGAATAGGTGATACCTGGCTCACCTGTACAGGTAGTCCTTGACTTACGGCCACAATTAAGCCCTAAAAATTCTGTTTTGTTAAGTGAGACATTTGTTAAGTGAGTTTTGCCCCATTTTACGACCTTTCTTGACACAGTTGTTAAGTGAACCACTGCAGTTGATGACAAAAGGTCATCCTATTTCTTCTTAAAAACCTCCAGTGTTGGAGCACCCACCGCTTCTGGAGGCAAGTTGTTCCACTGGTTAATTGTTCTAACTGTCAGGAAGTTTCTCCTTAGTTCTAGGTTGCTTCTCTCCTTGCTTAGTTTCCATCCGTTGCTTCTTGTCCTGCCTTCAGGCGCTTTGGAGAATAGCTTGACCCCCTCTTCTTTGGGGCAGCCCCTGAGAGATTGGAACAAATCTAGTCCAAATACTATTTCAGACAAAGGGTTGTCCAATCTCTTCTTAAAAACCTCCAATGTTGGAGCCCCCAAACTTCTGGTGGCAAGCTGTTCCACTGGTTAATTGTCCTCACTGTTAGGAAGTTTCTCCTTAATTCCAGGTTGCTTCTCTCCTTGATGACTTTCCATCCATTGTTTCTTGTTCTGCCTTCTGATGCTTTTTATATTAACTTAGCAGGTCATTTAATGGTGTTTTTATATTAACTCTAAACTTAGCAGGTCATTTAATAGCAGAGGACCATTTTTTTTGGCTTAATCTAAAGACTAGAGGCTAAAACATACCAGGAACGGTTGCTGGAATTGGGCGTGTCTAGTTTAATGAAGAGAAGGACGAGGGGGGACAGGATAGCGTTCCAATATCTCAGGGGCTGCCCCAAAGAAGAGTGAGTCAAGCTATTCTCCAAAGCACCTGAAGGCAGGACAAGAAGCAACGGATGGAAACTAATCAAGGAGAGAAGCAACCTAGAATTAAGGAGAAACTTTCTGACAGCTAGAACAATTAACCAGTGGAACAACCTGCCTCCAGAAGCGGTGAATGCTCCAACACTGGAGGTTTTAAAGAAGAGACTGGACAGCCATTTGTCTGAAACGGTATAGGGTTTCGTTCTTGAGCAGGGGGTTGGACCAGATGACCACCAAGGTCCCTTCCAATATTATTATTATTATTATTATTATTATTATTATTATTATTNTCGTCGTCGTCGTCGTCATCATAAAGTTGGAAGGGACCTAAGAGGTCATCTAGTCCAACTCCCTGCTCAGGCAGGAAACCCTATACCAGGGGTAGGCAACCTTGGCTCTTTTATGGCTCGTGGACTTCAACTCCCAGAATTCCTGAGCCAGCCATGCTGAGGGGAAAGGGAGAGATTTCCAAGCTGAGCCATGCTGGCTGAGGAATTCTGGGAGTTGAAGTCCACGAGTCATAAAGCGGCCTAGGCCTAGGCCAGAGATAGGTAACCTTGGCTCTTTTATGACTCGTGGACTTCAACTCCCAGAATTCCTGAGCCAGCCACGCTGAGGGGAAAGGGAGAGGTTTCCAAGCTGAGCCAGGCTGGCTCAGGAATTCTGGGAGTTGAAGTCCACGAGCCATAAAAGAGCTGAGGTTGCCTACCCCTGGTCTAGGAGGCTCACCGCTTAGAACAGGAGGACTTAGCACAGGGGTAGGCAACCACGAGTCATAAAGCGGCCTAGGCCTAGGCCAGAGGTAGGCAACCTTGGCTCTTTTATGGCTCGTGGACTTCAACTCCCAGAATTCCTGAGCCAGCCACGCTGAAGGGAAAGGGAGAGATTTCCAAGCTGAGCCATGCTGGCTGAGGAATTCTGGGAGTTGAAGTCCACGAGTCATAAAGCGGCCTAGGCCTAGGCCAGAGATAGGTAACCTTGGCTCTTTTATGACTCGTGGACTTCAACTCCCAGAATTCCTGAGCCAGCCACGCTGAGGGGAAAGGGAGAGGTTTCCAAGCTGAGCCATGTCGGCTCAGGAATTCTGGGAATTGAAGTCCACGAGCCATAAAAGAGCCAAGGTTGCCCATCCCTGCCCTTTACCATTTCAGACAAATGGCTGTCCAGTCTCTTTTTAAAAACTTCCAGTGTTGGAGCATTCACCGCTTCTGGAGGCAGGTTGTTCCACTGGTTAATTGTTCTCACTGTCAGGAAGTTTCTCCTTCGTTCCAGGTTGCTTCTCTCCTTGATTAGTTTCCATCCGTTGCTTCTTGTCCTGCCTTCAGGTGCTTTGGAAAATAGCTTGCCCCCCACTCTTCTCTATGACAGCACCTCAAATATCCTACCATTACCCTCAATTGTCCTTGAAGACAATTCAAGACACGGGATCCAGTGAACGACGGGGGCCTTTCAGCTTGATTTCTCCCCCTTTTTTCCTGCCTCCCCCATCCCTCTGGAAAAGATCCTCAGTGTCTTTTGTTCGCTTCGGCATAATGCTGTACTGTGGATTTTATTTTTTCTTTTGCAGATTTTATATTGCTCGTAAGCTGCTTTAGAAGATTCTTATCCCTAGAAGCCGGCTATAAATAATGGCCTTAAGTAGAAATGCAGTGTTCGCTGTGTGATTAATACCTGAGTCCACAAATCTTTTAAGGTTGACATTAAGCCCAGGAAAATGTCTGAGCTTCTCGTTGTTGCTTTGTCCTGCTAAATATTCCGTGAAGCCCTGTTGATTAGAATGAGACTTGAGCAAATGTGTGTGGGTTTTTGTATAGGTGTGAGAAAAATAACACCCTTTGTGCACCGGACATCATTAGGCTAGTCATTGACTATGAAAATATTTTAAGGTAGCACAGATCGTCCTTGACTTACGGCCGCAATTAAGCACTATGGCTAAGCGAGGCCGTTAAGTGAGTTTTACCCCGTTTTAAGACCTGTCTTGTCACAGTGGTTGTGAATCCCTGCAGTTGTGAAGTTAGTAACCCGGTTGTTAAGTGAATCTGGCTTCCCCCGTTGACTTTGCTTGTCAGAAGGTCGCAAATGGGGATCACGTGACGCCCCCGGGACGCCGCAACCGTCGTAAGTACGAGTCAGTTGCCAAGCCTCTGAATTTTTGATCACGTGACTTCGGGGGGATGCTGCAACGGTCGTAAGTCTGAAAAACAGTCGTAAGTCACTTTTTTTTCAGCGCCGTTGTAACTTTGGTCCCTAAATGAACCGTTGCTAAGTCCAGGGGCTACCTACGTTATGAATTCTGCAATTTCCTAACTTATTTTAAGTTCTTTTTCCTCAACTGGAAAGAGCAGCTTTTCTCTCACGTGAAGCAGTTATTTTGATCTGCTCCTCTGTCTTTTGCGCAGGTGTCCTTGAAATGATGCAGACCAGAATCAGCGCCCTGCAGAGCACTGTTGAGAGGTATGTCATGTTGTTTGGAAGTTTTTACATTCTTCTGCATCGCTCTGGTTTCTAAAACACCGCTCCTTTTTCCGTTAGGATCAAAGCCAAAATTATTGATCCCTACAACAAAATCGTATCCCGCACAGCGCAGTTAGCCAGGCTTCAGGTAAGTTATTCTCTCTTCTCGTTCTCCAGCAATGCTCCTTGTTCTTGTTCTTCTTGTTCTTCTTATCCTTGTTCTTCTTCTTCTTCTTGTTCTTCTTCTTCTTGCTCTTCTTGTTGTTGTTGTTCTTCTTGTTGTTCTTCTTGTTGTTCTTCTTCTCCTCTTCCTCCTCCTTCTCCTCCTCCTCCTCCTTCTTCCTCTTCTTCTTCTTCCTCCTCCTCCTCCTCCTCCATCTTCTTCTTCTTCTTCTTCCTCTTCTTCTTCTCCTCCTCCTCTTCCTCCTCCTCTTTCTCCTCCTCCTCTTCTTCTTCTTCTTCTTCTTCTTCTTCTTCTTCTTCTTCTTCTTCTTCTTCTTCTTCTTCTTCTTCTTCTTCTTCTTCTTCTCCTTCTTCTCCTCCTCCTCCTCCTCCTCCTCCTCCTCCTCCTCCTCCTCCTCTTCTTCTTCTTCTTCTTCTTCTTCTTCTTCTTCTTCTTCTTTTTCTTCTTCTTTTTCTTTTTCTTCTTCTTCTCCTCCTCCTCCTTCTTCCTCTTTTTCTCCTCCTCCTCCTCCTCCTCCTCCTTCCCTTTTGGCTGCAAAATAGTATTTTGAAGAGCTGAAGAGCAATCACTGAGAGGAACAGATGTGAAGGATTTTTTAGAACAGTGTTTGCAACTTCCAGATCAGAGTGAATTAATGATGGACAGAGATAACCGGATGGTTTCTTGGTTGGCTCTACAGGGTTGCTATAGTTACTTGTTGAAAAGGGAAACACTCCCAGAATAAATAATTAAAATCATTGCATAAGAATGGTGAACATTTAAAAAAAAAAATTCCTCCCATGGGGGGGAACCTAAATGCAAGCAGAAAGGAATTTTATGTGGCCAAATTTGTAAAGTGCATTTACATATTTTGTTCAGAGCCTTTCCACATGTAGTTATTCCCTTCACTGCTTTTCAAAGTCCTTCTGGCAAGGCTTGCCTCATTTTAAATCTGCCTATTTGCAGCTTCAGTTTAGAATTTGCTTTTTATTCCTCACTTCCCAAGAATTGCAAATAAAATGCCATATTCTGGGATTCACGGAAACCAAATGGAAAATAGTATTTAGCATTGTGGACATCCACCGAGAACCTCTTTTAAGCCTGACATAATATTAAAAAATTGCTGGGTGTCAATCATCGTTCATTATTGACAGGTTTTTTGGGGGGGGGTTGGTCAAAAAATCCCCGGTATCTCAGAATTAATGTTTTCTCCAGCTTCATGCTATTATATCGTGATTCATGGACATAATTGTCACTTTTTCCAGCCCTAGCAGTAGACTGTAGTAAGGAGTGGGAAGTAAGCCTTATAAAAAGAAGCATTATTTCTTTATGTACAGGTAAGTTTTTAAGAAGAGATTGGACAACCATTTGTCTGAAATGGTATAGGGTTTCCTGCCTGAGGAGGGGGTTGGACTAGAAGACCTCCAAGGTCCCTTCTAACTTTTCTATTCTGTTCTGTTCTATATTCTGTATTCTACATTCCATTCCGTATTCTATCTTATTCTATTCTATCCTATCCTATTCTATTCTATTCTACATTCTATATTTCATTCCGTATTCTGTTCTATTCTACTCTGTTCCGGTCCGTTCCATTATTCTATTCTATTCTATTCTATTCTATTCTATATTCTATATTCTATATTCTATATTCTATATTCTATATTCTATATTCTATTCTATTTTCTATATTCTCTATCCTATCCTATCCCATCCCATCCCATCCCATCCCATCCTCTATTCTATTCTCTATTCTCTATTCTATTCTATTCTATTCTATTCTATTCTATTCTATTCTATTCTATTCTATTCTATTCTCCTATTCTATTCTATATTCCATTCCATTTCGTATTCTCCTCTCTTCTCTTCTCCTTTCTCTCCTCTCCTCTCCTCTCGTTCTGTTCTGTTCCGTTCCATTCCATTATTCTGTTCTGTTCTGTTCCGTATTCTATTCCATCGGCTTAGGACCACAATAAAGCCACAAATTTCTATTGCTAAGGGAGACGTTTGTTAAGTCACTTTTGCTCCATTTTGTGACCTTTCTTGCCACAATTGTTAGGCAGATCACTGCAGGTAAGTTAGTAACACGGTTGTTAAGTGAATCTGGCTTCCCCATTGACTTTGCTTGTCAGAAGGTCGCCAAAGGGGGATCACGGCTGCCCTCATAAATACGAGTCAGTGGCCAAGTGTCTGGATTTTGATCCCGTGTCCACGGGGACGCTGCAGTGGTCGTAAGCGTGAAAAACGGTCCTAAGTCCCCTTTGCCAGTGCCGTTGTAATTTCGAACGGCCATGAAACAACTGTTGTAAGTTGAGCATTACCTGTAGTAAGGAGTAGGAACTGGGCTTTATAAAAAGGCCCATTATTTCTTTCTGCACCCTCTAAGTTCCGCTGTCTTTTCCTTTGGCGCTTTTAAAAACTCTAGGCCCCCTTGATATTTTCCCCAAGATGGCCTTAAGGTGATCATGGTGGTTAAACTGAGCAAAACTGACAAACCTTGACATTTCAGGCTTGTACAGCAAGCTCAACACAATTGTATTTTGCCCGTATCCGTCCAACTGCATCAAGCATTGAGAGAGCTTTTAACAATAGCTCTGTCCTAACATTTTATTCTGCTTGATCGACTCCTTGACGTCTATTTGCTTGTACGATCCTCTGAAAGCTGTAATATGTATTCCCCACCAAACCTGGAGCAGACTCCCTGTTTAACGACGAAGAACATTTTTCATTGATCCCATTCTAGGCTGCATCAACAATGAGTTAAAGTAAAATTATGGTGTTTCCTTTCCCAAGTTGCCATTGACATATACGTCGACACTAAACAGTTCGTTTAATGACCGTTCAAAGTCGAAAACGGCACTGACAAATGTGACTTAGGACCATTTTTCTCACTTAATGACCATTATGTTTCATATGGTTAAGATCTAGATGCTTGGCATCTGACTCGTATTTATGACGGTTGGCCGCATCCCGCGGTCACGTGATCCCCTTTTGCGTCCTTCAGACAAGCAAAGTCAACGGGGAAGCCAGTCGCAACGGCAGCGGTTCACTTAACAAGAAAGGTCTTAAAGTGGGGCAAAATTTACTTAACAAATGTCTTATTTAATGACAGAAATTGTGCGCTCAGTTGGGGTCATAAGCCAGGGACCACCCGTACTTCCCTTTCTAACGTGCTCCCGAGAGGCTACATTAACTGAAAGATCGGTGAAGCATGTTAAAAAAGACAGAAAACCTGGATGAAACCAGAGGGAGTATTTTAGGTAAATGTTAAGTTTAAAAAATAAAAATAGGCCTCTCTTTTCTTCGTGTTGTTTTCCTTGCCAGATTGTTTGTTTGGCTGTTGAAATGCCAGGTTTGTGATACCAAGACCGCTGATTCTCTTTGGCCTTTGAAGGGCCAAAACCCTCATATGAACCAGCAGCCTGTATAGAATCAAAAGTAATAATGATAATGATAATAATAATGATAATGATGATAATAATAATAATAATAATAATAATAATAATAATAATAATAATAATAATAATAATAATAATAATAATAATAATAATAATAATAATAATAATAATAATAATAGAGGTGGAAGGGATCTTGGAGATCATCTACTAGTCCAGGGGTAGACAATCTTGGCTCTTTTATGAGTCGTGGACTTCATCTCCCAGAATTCCTGAGCCAGCATGGCTCAGCTTGGAAACCTCTCCCTTTCCCCTCAGCATGGCTGTCTCAGGAATTCTGGGAGTTGAAGTCCACGAGTCATAAAAGAGCCAAGTTTGCCTACCTCTGGCCTAGGCCTAGGCCAGAGGTAGGCAGCCTTGGCTCTTTTATGACTCGTGGACTTCATCTCCCAGAATTCCTGAGCCAACCACGCTGAGGGGAAAGGGAGAGGTTTCCAAGCTGAGCCGTGCTGGCTCAGGAATTCTGGGAGTTGAAGTCCACGAGTCATGAAGGGCCCATAGTTCCCTCATGCTGGCTCAGGAATTCTGGGAGTTGAAGTCCACAAATCATAAAAGAGCCAAGGTTGCCTACCCCGATCTAGTCCAATCCCCTGCTCAGGCAGGAAACCCTATACCATTTCAGACAAATGGCTGTCCAGTCTCTTCTTAAAAACTTCCAGGGTTGGAGCATTCACCGCTTCTGGAGGCAGGTCGTTCCACTGGTTAATTGTCCTCACTGTCAGGAAGTTTCTCCTTAGTTCTAGGTTGCTTCTCTCCTTGGTTAGTTTCCATCCGTTGCTTCTTGTCCTGCCTTCAGGCGCTTTGGAGAATAGCTTGACTCCCTCTTCTTTGGGGCAGCCCCTGAGATATTGAAACACTGCTATCATGTCCCCCCTCGTCCTTCTCTTCATTAAACTAGACATACCCAATTCCAGCAACCGTTCCTTATATGTGACTAAAAGCAGCTAACGAAATTCTGCTTTTAGAATAATTTTATAGCTGGGATCTTTTAAGTGCCTGCATTTCAAGCCCTTGCATCTTTGAGAAGGCGAATGTATCAGCTATAAAAACATGTAGGAAAGATCAACCCACTTCATTCACCTAATTTGTAGAATTCAAATGCACCCATCTTGGAAAACACAATAGAATGTAATTCTTGCATAGTTCACTTTCCATATTCCTGATGTTTTCCCATCCTTTATGTGACCGGTATGTTTTACACATCCTCGGCCAGCTTAGTTACTCAAAATTTAAATGACATACAAAGGAGAAAATGGTTTGCCTTAAATAACGGATTAAAATTATGATGTTAATTACCATAGAAGGAAATCCCTCTGCTAATAATTGCATATTTATTCAGTGGTGTAACAATTAAAATGTACTGGTTTGGAACTAAATAGAGCCATTATGGCATCGAGGAACATAATCCAAATCCTCTCGTTGTGTAGTCCACAGGTCTTGTACACTGAATGGGTTTAGAACTGCAATTATACTGTGAATGATTTATACTGGTGCCTCTATACACATAATTAAAGTCATTAAGCAAGTTCATTTAGCTGAAGATTTAATAGCAGAAAGCTAGTTGGGTCCCACTTCTCCCTGACGTGTATTTGAAAGTCACGCTACGCTAGTAATTGATGAACAAGCTCCGGGTTTTTAAAGTATTGCTGCAAGGAATAAATTGGAGGCATCCACTTTGGTTTGATATTTGGAGTGTGTGTTGTCTAATCTCTACAGTTTCATCTTGAAATTGTGTGTGTGAGACGCGCACAACATAAGATCAGGCTGAGATTTCTGATCCTGACCAGTTTGGATGAACTAATCCTGGTTGAGATGACATCGGAAACTGATTAGCGAAGACTGCTATGCTGTTGGTCTCCTGGTGAATGAGGAAGGGAAGGGAAGAGAAAGGATAGGAAAGGGAAAAAAAGAAAGGAATAGTGAAAGAAAAGGAAGGGAAAAGCAAAAGGAAAGGAGACAGAAATGAAAACGGAAACGGGAATAATCACCGAACACAGGCTTAATCGATGTTTCCTTCCTTCTCAAGGCTGCCTGCGACTTGCTGAGGAGAATAATACGGATCTTGTACCTCAGCAAAAGACTTCAAGGCCAGCTCCAGGGTGGAAGCCGAGAGATCACCAAAGCTGCTCAGAGTCTCAATGAACTCGGTGAGTCCAGCGGGCTCGTTTTTTAAGATCACGGGTTTGCTAATTGCGAGGGTTTTCCCCTCAGACATAAACCATGACTGATTCGAGGTTGTCTAAACCAGGGCTTTTCAACCTTTTCACCCATTGTACCACTTTTAGGAGACGGCAACATCCGAGTACCTCCAGTCGCCTAGCAAGGTGTCAAAAACCTGATACCCTCCCCCCAAAAAGGAAAAAAGTGATAAAGTACAGTAGTCCTCGACTTACAACAGTTCGCTTAGTGACTGTTCGAAGTTAACAATGGCACTGAAAAAAGTGCGCCCCGAGCCACAGCCGAGCAAGACATCTGCCTGCCCCCCCGGCAGCGCTCTTCCTCCTGTCCGAGGTTTTCATTGTTGTGAGCATTTTTGTTGAGGATTGGCAGTGGGGGTGAGATGGGGGGGTTTGGTCTTTATTTCCCCCGTCTGCTGGGTGGTTGCAGCAGGTTTTGGTCACTTCACATGACCCTGGGACACCTTGGCCGTCATAAATATGAATCGGTTGCTAAGCATCTGAATGTAAATCACAAGACCCTGGAGAGGCTGCAACATTCCAGCTGATCGGCGCTTCTTCTGGGCTCAGCAGAAGCGCCAGGATCAGCGCCGAGCGCCAGCTGGAGCCTGGCGCTGATCCTGGCGCTTCCGCTGAGCCCTGACAGCCCTGCAGGTCCAGCCGTCTCTCGCTCAGGCTTGTGTGCTGCTGCCACCAGTTCAGCTCATTCCCCTCCCCTGCTACCACTTTTCTAGGATGGTCGCGTACCACCTGCCAGGTGCCAATGTACCACAGGTGGTACCCATACCACTGGTTGAAAAGCCCTGGTCTAAACGGAGGCATAGACTCAAAATAAGGTGAAGCACGGGCACCACCTTATAAAGCCTTTGTAGGGCCACACCTGGAATACAGCATCCAGTTGAGGTCACCACATCACAAAAAAGAGGTTGAGACTTTGGGAAAAAGTGCAGAGAAGAGCAACTAAGACGATTGAAGGCCCGGAGATCAAAACATATGAAGAACGGTTGCCGGAATTGGGTCTGGCTGGTCTACAGAAATGAAGGACATGATAGCCGTCTTCCAATATTTGAGGGGCTGCCACAAAGAAGAGGGGGGTCTGTGTCAACAATTTCCCAAAGTACCAGAAAACAAGATGAAAAACGATGGAAACTAATCAAGGAGAGAAGCAACCTGGAATTAAGGAGAAACTTCCTAAGAGTGAGGACAATTAACCAGTGGAATGGCTTTGCCTTCAGAGGTTGTGGCTGCTTCATCGCTGGAGGTTTTCAAGAAAAGACTGGACAGCCACTTGTCTGAAATAATAGTAGTAATAATAATAATAATAATAATAATAATAGTAGTAGTAGTAGTAAAGTTGGAAGGGACCTTGGAGGTCATCTAGTCCAACCCCCTGCTCAGGCAGGAAACCCTATACCATTTCGGACAAATGGCTGTCCAGTCTCTTCTTAAACACTGTCCAGTGTTGGAGCATTCACCGCTTCTGGAGGCAGGTTGTTCCACTGGTTATATAGGGACTCCTATATGATATAGGGACTTCTGCTTGAGCAGGGGGCTGGACTAGAAGACCTCCAAGGTCCCTTCCAGCTTGATTCTGATTCTGATTCTAAAGTGGGTTTCTTTTTCTTCGAAAAGTTGGACCAAATGAGTCTCTGGAGGTTAGCTGAAGTTGTCCTTTCATTGAGCAGGTGAATCTCTTTAGAGTACGTCTAGTCCTCGGCTTAACAACCATTTATTTAAGGATCATTCGAAGTTACAAGGACAGTTGGGAAAAAAAGTGGCTTATGACCGTTGTCGTGGGAGAAAAGAAACTTGCCAGATCAGTTTTAGATATTGTGGACTTTGTTGGCATGCTGTACAGGTCGTCCTCATTTTACGGCCACAAGTGGGCCCAAAATTTCTATCGCTAAGCGAGGCATCGGTTAAGTGGGCTTGGCTCCCGTTTTACGACCTTTCCTGCCACGGTTACGAAGTGAATCGCCGCCGTTGTTAAATTAGTAACCCGGTTGTTAAGTGAATCCGGCATCCCCTCGTTGACTTTGCTTGTCAGAAGGTCGCAAAAGGGGATCACGTGACCCCCCCCCAGGACACTGCGACCGTCATAAATATGAACCAGTTGCCGGGCGTCTGGATTTTGCTTGTGTGAACACAGGGATGGTAAGTGTGAAAACGGGCCTAAGTCACTTGTTCAGTGCCACTGTAACGGTCATTAAAAGAACGGTTGTAAGTTGAGAACTACCCGCGCGTACGATTTTTTTTTTTTAAAAAAGGGAAAAATCACATAAAGTACTTTATGTAACAACGGTAAGGAATTCTCCTCCGCACAAAGACTCATCTTTGTCAGTTTCTCAGCTCCGGTTGGCCTTCATTTTAACTGGGGATTATTGATGTGGTGTCACTGAAAACTGGCAGCTCCGCACTGATTAGAATTGCAAGTGTGTCTTTTTGTCGCTTGGCAGATTCTTCTCCTGCAAAAGGATGTTTGAAAAAACCTTGAATCAGAAGTTAATGTGTCTGACGCAGGGGATGGTGTTGAATTGCAAACTTGAAAACTCGGGTGTAGCGGGAAAGCCGAGGGACTCTACGTTTTCAGCAAATCAAAGTAATTGCCTCAAATCAAGTTAATCCTGGGGTGATAACCAATTTGCAGTGAAATGGCGAAGGAAGTAATATTAAATGTGCATTGCTTGCTTGCTCGTCTTTTTCTTGTCCCGCAAATCTGTTTGATAGGCTTTGGGGGAAAAGCGTCGCTCCTTGGTGGTGCGATTTTATACAAAATTAACTTAAAATTTAATTTTCCTCTAAAAGTCTTTAAAAAGGCTTTACTTATTCTAAATAATAAATAGCTGCTTCGTCACTGCTCTGTTGAAAGGGAATTAGGGTTGTCTAGTTTCAGCTTTTAGATTGCCTCAAAACAAACTTTTAAGATGGATATTTTGTCTTCGTCAGAATAGAATTTATTCTTGAACTTGTGAACTTTTGAAAATGGAAGCAAAGGCACTCTTGCTCATTAATTAATTAATCAATCAATCAATCAGAGAGTTGCTAGAGCAGACAGTATGCAATTTTTCCTTAGATCTCATAATTTACTACATTTAATGAAGGAATATTATTATTATTATTATTATTATTTATTATTTATTGAATTTATATACCGCCCTATCTCCCTTACGGGACTCAGGGCGGTGAACAGGCGATAATAAAAACCACGATAAATATACACAAATTTCTGTTCTAAAATCAAATTAACCAGTGGTTCTTCTTTGAACCACTGTCTCTCCTTCCTTATGACAAACATAAACATCTTTATTTATTTTTCTTTGACCCTCTTACGAAATAATTCAGTCATGATATCACAGGGGGTATGGGGGCATCTAGAGAGTTTTAAAAAAAAGTCAAGATGGTATAAAAAGCTCGGCTGCCATCTTGATTTTTTTTTTTTTTTAACCATATGCCATGGATATTGATCAGCTCCATCCATGAGTGTGCCATCGATTTTGTTCCTGGCACTTTTCCGTAGGAAAGATTAGCACGGAAATGAAATTGACAGCCTTCGATGTTTTCTAATGGAGCATCTGTGGAATATGATCACTGCTATCTTTGAACTAGTTCATGTTTTTTTTTTTTTTTGAAAGAAAATTGGGCTATGGTTTTCCCAGTGGCAATGTATGGCTGTGAAAGTTGGACCATAAGAAAGGCTGAGCGCCAAAGAATGGAGGCCTTTGAACTATGGTTAGTAGCAACTGTGAGAGGGACCTCGGAGTCCTAGTGTACGATCCCTTAAATAGGAGCCAGCCGTGTGCTGCAGCTGCCAAAAAAGCCAACACGGTGCTGGGCTGCATTAACAGAGGGAGAGAATCAAGATCACGTGAAGTATTAATACCACTTTACAAGGCCTTGGTAAGGCCACACTTGGAATACTGCATCCAGTTTTGGTCACCACTATGTAAAAAAGATGCTGGGACTCTAGAAAGAGTACAGAGAAGAGCAACAAAGATGACTAGGGGACTGGAGGCTAAAACATATAAGGAACGGTTGCTGGAACTGGGTATGTCTAGTTTAACGAAGAGAAGGACGAGGGGGGACATGATAGCAGTGTTCCAGTATCTCAGGGGCTGCCCCAAAGAAGAGGGAGTCAAGCCATTCTCCAAAGCACCTGAAAGTAGAACAAGAAGCAACAGATGGAAACTAACCAAAGAGAGAAGCAACCTGGAACTAAGCAGAAACTTCCTGACAGTGAGAACAATTAACCAGTGGAACAACCTGCCTCCAGAAGCGGTGAATGCTCCAACCCTGGAAGTTTTTAAGAAGAGACTGGACAGCCATCTGTCTGAAATGGTGTAGGGTTCCTGCCTGAGCAGGGGGTTGGACTCGATGACCTCCAAGGTCCCTTCCAACTTTATTATTATTATTATTATTATTATTATTATTATTATTATTATTATTATTATTATTATTATTATTATTATTATTATTATTATTATTATTATTATTGACTCCTGCGAGTCCCCTGGACTGCAAGGCGTTCAAACCGGTCAGTCCTAGAGGAGATCAACCCTGACTGCTCTTTAGAAGGCCAGATCCTGAAGCTGAAACTCAAGTCCTTTGGCCACCTAATGAGAAGGAAGGACTCACTGGAGAAGAGCCTGATGCTGGGAAAGATGGAGGGCAAGAGAAGAAGGGGATGACAGAGAAGGAGGTGGCTGGATGGAGTCCCTGAAGCAGTAGGCGGGAGCTTCAATATGGTAGAGGACAGGAAGGCCTGGAGGAACGTTGTCCATGGGGTCGCGATGGGTCAGACACGACTTCACAACTAACAACAACAACAAACACTATCTGACCAGATCCATGTGTGTGTAGAGTTCAAGCTACTACTTCATTGCATTCTGCCTATAATACAGGAATCTTCCCGATCCTTTGCGAATTAACTAGGAAAACATTTTAGGATAGTACAGGTAGCCCTCTACTCACACAATTTAGCCCAACATTACTGTTGCTAAGCGAGACAGTTGTTAAGTGATTTTTTTTTGCCCCATTTTACAACCTTTTTTGCCACAGTTAAGTGAATCACTGCAGCTGCCAAGTTAGTAACAACGGTTGTTAAGTAACTCTGGCTTGCCCGTTGACTTTGCTTGGCAGAAGGGCGCAAAAGGGGGGGTCAGGTGACCCTCTCGGGACGCTGCGACCGTCATAAATATGAACCGGTTGCCAAGCTTCTGAATTTTAATCGCGGGACCATGGGAACGTCGCAGTGGTCGTAAGCTAGGAAAGCAGCCCTAAGTCACTTTTCCCAGGGCTGTTGTAAGTTCAAATGGTCACTAAATGAATGGCTGTAAATTGTGGACTACTTGTAATACAGTTACTCAGCAAACATATCTGCAATTGAGCCCAAAATCTATGTTGCTGAGTGAGAAATTTGTTAAGTGAATTTTGCCCCATTTTACGACCTTTCTCGCCACGCTTGATAAGTGAGTCGCTGTAGTTCTTAAGTTAGCAACCCGGTTGTTAAGTGAATTTGGCTTCCTCGTTGATTTTGCTTGTCAGAAGGTCCGCAAAAGGGGAGCACAACACCCCGGGACACTGCAACCGTCATAAATATGAGTCAGTTGACATTGGGTCAATTACCAGGAGATTGTGAATTCTAGTCCTGCCTTAGCCCTGAAAGCCAGCTGGGTGACATTGGATCAATCATCAGGAGATTGTGAGTTCTAGTCCTGCCTTAGCCATGAAAGCCACCTAGGTGACTCTCGGCCCAACCCACCTCACAGGGTTGTTTTGTTGTGGGGAAAATATGAGGAGGAAGCTGTGTTGGATATGTTCACCACCTTGAGTTATTTGTAGAACTAATAAAGGCAGGATACAAATGAATAAATAGAATTAATATGGAAAAGTAGCCAAACACCTTTGGCATTTCTTCTTGTCTTGAACTGAGGTTTTTGATTTGGCAAAACATTTTGGCCTTATCAACTCCAGTTTGGCTTAGGAATATGAACAAGCAGTTTAGCAGTGTATAAAAATCACATTTCTGGACCGAAACATTGATCTATATAAGCACTTGAAGAATCCTTTAAAACACGCAAGCAGTAGATAAATTCACTCCTGTTACCCAAACAGAAATTTAGGAAGAATTAAAAATAATTACAATTTAAAAAATTCTTATTTGTACAGCAGTCTTTCACTTATTTAAAATCAAACTTCTCTCAGGCTGACTTTTATATAGATATATAAAAAAACCCATAATACCCTTCTGATGAAAATTATTTGTAAAGGCATATATTGCGGCTCCAAATAATAGCGTACCTTGAACTCACAAAGCTGCTGGTAATTACTTGGGGCACATAGCTTATAATTTTAGGCTTACAACTATAGTTGAGAAAAAGTTTTCAATTCATTATCAGAAACCCGAATACTGTGCCAAAACAGGGCAGCTAATAAGTCTTAACCGGTGCGCGCTATTTCTCTGGCCCAAAGTTTTAAAACAAAGCTTTACATATTTACAGCAAAATAGACATTTTTTTGAAAAGTGACCACTATTTTAAGGCTTTTCTTGTTAGAAAATATTTACTTAAATGTATATTAGAGGACAGAGTATTGACAAAATATAACCATGGTTTTACGCTTAACAAACCGCCATGCAACACACATTTTTGAATAATGAGGAAATAAATACACAGCTCTGATCTGTTTAAATGCATTTTTCAAACCATTACAGTCCGGTTTAATGTTTCCTCTCCCTTTTTTTAAAAAAAAAAATGTATTTGGCAGTCGTGGTTTATCCTTGACTCCCCCCCCCCTCTTAAAATAATCCTGCGGATACGGGAATCTAGTCCGTAACAACTTGAGGTACTAAACACTTCTGCCTCACTTCGTTGTCTTCAAAAGTGATGGCCTTGCTTCTCTTGGGCTCAATCCATGAGTTGTGTATCACAGCGCTGTTGGGAATTGGGTCCGCTTCCACTATGGAGACGACGCGTTTTTTCATTTTGCTTTTCAAAACTTTTTGAAATTTCTGTCGGGTGAAGGCGTACAGGAGAGGGTGGAAGATGGTGGTCCCATAGGCCATGACTAGAAAACACAGCCTCAACTTGACCAAAAGGTCACTTGGGCCCGAACATAAAATGATCGTGTTTAAAACGGTGATCGGTGTCCAACAGAGAACAAAAGTTGATATGATTAACAGCGACATGCGGAAGACTCTTTTCTGCCTTTCGCGGCGTTCCCGGTGTCTCTTGACCGCCCGCCGTAGAGCAATGATAACCGAAACAGAAGTCCTTACCCCAAAGACCACATTTCTGCCTCCGCTGGCTTGCGACGCTTCGGTGGGTTCCTGTTGCGTAGCCAAGGAAATGGTCTTCTTTTTGACTTTTTTCTTCGGCCCCGTGGAAAACCGTGTGCCTATTCGGATGTTCAGGGCCTGAAGTATTTTGCTGTAGGTAATGAGCATCACCACCACCGTGAAAAAGAAGATGGGGATTTGCACCAACAGGTGATAGTACATGCCCAGTTCTGTGT